TGATGGCCTAAAACAATGGAAATAAGAGCCAGGAGTAGTGGCACATGCCTGTAATCTCAGTACTCTGGAGGCCAAGGCAGAAGAATCCCAAGTTCAAAGCCAGCCTAGGGCTGTCTCAAAAAAATTTTTAAAACCAAAATTTAAAAAATGGAGATTTATTCTCTCACAGTTCTGGAGGCCAGCATTTTAAGTTAAGATAATGGCTACCTTCAAAGGCTCTGCTGAAGCATTCTTCTCCTTTTCCAACCTTTGGGAAGCGCCACCCTTTGGCCTATGGCTGCATTGCTCTCTGCCTTGTATCTATTTCCCCTTCCCTTCTCTTACAAAGACTTGTCATTGGGTTGAGGACCCACCTTAATCCAATTATGAGCTCACCTCAAGATCCTTATTTTAAGGGATTTAAGATCTACTACTCTACTCTATCTAGTTTGATCCTTTTTGCAAATAAGATAAATCTTCATGATCCAGGTGGACAAATATTTTGGAGGGCTGCTTTTCAACCCACCACACCCTATAGGAAGTGAACCTCTGGACCCGGGCAGCAACTCCTAGGATCTGTATTTCCCCCAAATGCAATGGATTCTTGAGAATTCAGGGAACTGTTTGTACCTTCATCTCCTTAATTTTCAGACTTTCATGAAAATGCCTGCCACATTCCTATCACCATCCTGAAGCTGGGTGGAAAGTCAATATTCTGAGTGCCCAATTTGATTTTCTGGGCTCTGAACAGATGTGGGAGTCAGGACTTGAGGACTCACACAGAAATCCTGGATAAACACTGTGAGAGGAGCTTACTGCAGAAACAGAACCACCGTAACTAATTGAACGCATCCTTGCTCTTGGGCCTGCCTTTGTGTTTCTGCATTGATGTGATCTACCAACTACTGTTCAGTCAACAGACAGAGAAGCCAAACTAAACACAGAGAACTGGAGAAAGTGAACAGTATCAACCCCTTGGGGAGAGAGCATCAACCAGCACAAAAGCTAGAACCATTCTCCAACCATATTCTCTCAGACACCCCCGTTCCATTTCCCAAGGCAAGCCATTATAAAAATTTCATGTGTTTGCGTCCTGAGATTTTTTTTTTAATTTGTACTCAGATTTTGGGAAATGAGTATAAATTTTTATATTTGAAATTCTTTTTGTTTTTTCTTTTATTTAATATGGCTAGTATTACACTACATATCGTATTATGTACCTTGGTTTGAGGAACCAAACTTATTGACATTTAATTTATATACTTGAAAATTCACAATTGAAGTGTACACTTCAGTGAGTATTGACAAATGTGTATAGTCATATAATCACCACCACAACCATGATACAAAACATTTCCATTGTCTCAGAAAGTCCCCATCCAGATACTTCCTAACTCCTGGAAGCCAGTGATCTCCATTTATCTCTATAGTTTTGTCTTTTTAAAAAATATCATATAAGTGGGATGAACCTCTGTGTAGTCTTGTGTGTGTGTGGTTTCTTTCGTAATGCTTTGGAATTCATCCATGCTGGCACATATACCTGCAGTTTTTCTACCACCATTAGTATTCCATTGAGTGAATATACTACGATTTGTTGATGTATTCAGCAGTTGATGAGCACTTGGATTCTTTCCTGGATTTGGGCTATTAAAAATCTGGCTGCTATAATCATAAGCTTTCATGTTACTTATGCTTTAATTTCTCTTGGGTAAATACGAGCGGAATCATTAAGGCACATGGTCAGTGAATAACTCTTTCAAAAACTTCCAGATTGTGTCAAAGTGACTGTCAAAATTTCTATGAGATTTCTGATTGCTTCCTTTTCAGCTCTTGGCATTGTCAGACTTTTACATTGTAGGAATACAGGTAAATGTACAGTAGCTTTTCGTTGCAGGCTTAATTTCCTTTTGTGTGTGTGTGTGTGTATTTATTAGTCATCTTGGGTCTTCCTTGGGGAAGTATTTATCCAAATATTTACTTGTTATTATCACTTTAGAATTTTGTCTTCCCACTACTGAATTTTAAAAGTTTTTTTATATATTCAAGAAATTTCTTTTTCTTTCTTTCTTTTTTTTTTTTTTTTTGCAGTACTGGGGCTTGAACCCAGGGCCTTCACCTTGAGCCACTCCATCAGCCCTGTTTTGTGTAGGGTTTTCAAGATAGGGTCTCGCAGAACTATTTGCTCATGCTGGCTTCGAACCATGATCCTCCTGATAGCTGCCTCCTGAGTAGCTAGGATTACAGGCGTGAGCCACCAGAGCCCAGCTATATATTCAAGTAATTTCTTTCAGGGATAAATGTTTTTCAAATAGTTTATAAGTCTGTGGCTTGACTTTTTACTTTTATAATAGTGTATTTTTGAAGAGCAGAATTTTTTTCTCTTCATGAAGTTCCTTGTCTTAGTCTATTTTTTGTTGCTATAACAAAATACCTGACACGGGATAGTGTATAAAGAAAGGACATTTGTTTGGTTCACAATTCTGGTGGCTGGGAGTCCAATCAGCATGGTGTACCATCTAGTTCTGTCACAACATGGTGACGTAGAAGGGAACCAGCTGTGTGGCGTCAGGAAGCAAGAGCTGAAGAGCCAGGATCGTTCTGGTGTAACCCAGTCCTGTAATTAATGCAGAGAACTGCATTAATCCCTCCTGAGGGATTAACTGTAATCGAACCCTGTCTTAAAGGCACCACCACTTCAAACTATTACAATGGAGACCAAGCTTCTTGCTTGATAAATCTTTGGGGGAGACACTGAAGCCTTATCCAAATCACAACATCTGTCTGTCAGTTTTTTCCATAATTTGCACTTTATGTGAAATGTTTGTCTAACCCAAGGCCATAGGATTTTTTATGTTTTCTTCTAGAAGTTTTACAGATTTAATTCTGTGATCCATTTTAACTTCATTTCATATATAATACAAAGTCCATATTTATTTTATTTTATTTCCTTCCTTTTTCTTTCTTTCTTCTTTCTCCCTTTCCTTTTCTTTGCCCTTTCTTTCTTCCTATTATTTGAAATACATTAGTTGAGTTTCAAATGTTAAACCAACCTTGCATTTCTGAGATAAATCCTTCTTAGTCATGACTTACTATTTTAATTGATTTCTAAGTTTGAATATGTGTACATGAAGAATTTTTTTTCAGTCCTAGGAATCAAACTGAGGGTCTTGTAGTGCTCTGTATCCCTCCCTGTCCTTTATAAGGAATATTGGTCTTTAGTTTATTTTACTTTTTTTTTGCCTGGTTTTGGTGTTAGGAGAACACCAAATAGAATGAGTTGGGTATATATTTCCTCTTCTATTTCCTGAAAGAGTTCTATAGAATTGGTCTTATTTCTTTCTAAATACCCTAGTAAGATTCACCAGTGAAATTATTTTCACTACAGATTTCTTGGTGGGAGGTTTATAGGATCATTCAAGTTATCTCTTTCTTTCTCAGTGAGTTTGATAATTTGTGTCCTTTGAGTTATTTGTTGTTTTATCTAAGTTGCTGAATTTATTGTTAAGTTTCTCTCCTCCTTATGTTCATGTTTGCATATATCATATTAAGCATATGATATATATTTATATAGCATTTTAATGTCCTTATATACTAATTTTATCATCTTAGTCTATGGGTCTCTATTGACTGACTGATTTTTCCCTTGGTTATGAGTTGCACCTTGCTAGATACTTGCATACTCTAGTACTGTATTTTGGCTTCCAGTCATAAGATTGGGTACTGGATTTTGCTGTATTCTTTTAAATAGTGTTTGGCCTTATTCTAGGATGCAGGTTAAGTTACTCAGAATGAATTTGATCTTTTTGAGCTTCTCTGAAACTGTGTAAAGGTGGGTTCAGCAAAGCACTCATCTGGAGTGAACTTGGCTCCATTTCTGAAGCAAGTATCCAGTGGAGGACTCCACCCAATGCCTTGCATACTAGATGGTCTTTTCACTCTGCTTTCTAGAAATACAAACTGTTAGTGGTCCTATGTTAGATCTTGGGATTGTTTCTCCTGCTCCTTTCCAGTTCTTTCCTCACAGGTGGTAGTTTCCTCATATGCATGAACAGATCTGGATTTAGCCAAAGATTAGATTACTGCAGATCTACAGAATATGCTCTTGATCTCTTAGATCTGCAAATTCTGCCTTGACCTTCTCAAACTTCAAACGCTATTGTCTGCCTAACTCAGAAAGATTGCCAGTCTCTATTTGGGTCCTGTGGTACCTGTTCCTAATGTTTAAAAATACTGTTTCATATAGTTTCCCACTAGGAATGTTCTAATTGTCAAGGAAAAATTTGATTTCTTTTACTCCATCCTGACCACTTGCTGAGGTTGTTTCAACTGACTTTAAGATCTTTTTTAAAGTTGATTCTCCTTTCTTTCCAGAATATTGGCTCCTGGATTTCAAGCTTGAGTTAGAATTTGGAGTATAGTCACAAAGCCCAACTGGACTAAAACCTAATAATAATGACATTCAAGTGATGTTGTGGGGATGACAGTTAAAGCAAAATACTTTGGACTCTGGAGAAAGCTTTTGTTCTGACCCTTCTTTTCTTTCTCTTTTAAAGTTACCCTGTTTTTGCAGTATTTTTGTCTTACACCTTAAGTTCTCAGCAATGAGGAAATAGAAAAACAGGAGTCTCAGCCAATTATTCACTGATAAAAGCATTAACGTGATATCATCTCATCTAACTTCTTACTATTCAAGCCTCTGGTGACATGAACTCCTTTGGAAAACCCTAGGAAAAGTGGACCTTATTACTACCAAAATGGAATCCCTCTCTCAAGCTATATTACCGTACCTGGTCTCAATATCCAGAATCCATTTGTGGTATGAACTGTAATGTGTACATGGAAAAGACACGTTGACTGGCAGCTCTGCTGAATGACACTCACCCTGTGAGTAGAACATGTCTTTTACACCTGAAAGTAAGTGATTTATTGTAAGGACAGAGATAGAAATCTGGGCTGGAAACTGTGCCCCAATTTTATGCTTTAAAATCACAGCACTGTCCCTTTCTTGCATGAGCTTTAGGGTCATCAGCTGTGCCAGACCTGTCAGAAGCCATGGGTCTCTAATTATGGTGCTTGGCAGGCAACAGTAACATGGCAACCACTGAAATAAATCAGAGAATACATTGTTTAGGAAACAATTAATGTTCCTAGGTTTCAATGATCACACCCACAAGGTAAACATGTAAGGTGGTAATAAATAACTGGCAAGAGTGCCTATTGTTCCTTAAACTACAGCTGCATGACTTTTCCCTCTATTGAATTATTGCTTTTCTATTCTTCTGTGGTGGTAAGAAAGGAAGGAATATGGCCGGTAGTCTTTTAATATTTACAATTGCAACTCCCTTTAAATTGGCTTGGTTCTTCTAGAACTGCATTATTCAAAATGGTAGCCATTAGTCACATGTGGCTATTTCAGTCTAAATTAATTAGCATGAAATCAAATAAAATTTCAATTCTTTAGTCACACTCCCCTGTATTTCAAGTGCTCAGCAGTCATGTGACTAATGATGACTATAGTGGGAAATGCAAAGAAACAACACACCTGTCTTCATAGAACATTCCAAGGTCAGTGCTGTTGAAGGGTGACTAGATCCGTGTTCAAATTTGGCACGAAGACCTGTCAGTTATGTGAGCATTGGTCCTTCTCTGGGCCTTTATTCTTGTCTGAAAATAAAAGGTGGGGTGATTGAGTTTAGTGAGACAGATGATTGTTCAAGCCCACAAAGTAAAGAAACTACTAGTGAAAATCATCCATGTTGATAAGCAGTATCTATGGTAAAAGGTTTATGAATTCATTGCTTTTAAAAGCTAACTATTAAAGCAAAGATCTACAACTATAATCAGCCTGGCCTATTTCAATAAAGCTGTGGATATCCATTTGCCATGCCCGTTGAGAGTCTCTCTGAGCAAGCGGGCTCTATCAATGCTGCGGAAACCTTGAAGAGTGAAGATAATGCCCTTCTAGCTCCTACAGCCAAATGCTTAAGTTATGGGCATTTTGCCTACAAGATAAAAAGTTAGCCTTCTTCATTTGGCACACAAAACCTTCCACAGTAAGATACCAAACTTGATTCTTAATAGTATGTACTCACTGCTCCCTCCCTCCCCCACCCTCCAATGATTTGCAAATCCCAAATACCCTCAGATCATTGCCATAACCTGCTTCAGAGCAACAGAGGTCTGAATCTTTTGCTCAGTCATCCTTCTCCTCAGCCAAAACAACCTATACAATAGTCAATGACACTAAAGAATTATTGATAATCGCAAAGAAACTTACTAAGTTAAAGCAGAGAAGATAACCTTCCCTGGAGTAGGGGAAGGAGTTATTACAAATACCCAAAAAATATGAAGGTAAAGACTGAGAAATTCTTTTGTGAGTATAGTGAAGTCTTATTCCATAATAAAAAATTTATAGCTTCAAGAATGAATCTCTGATTGATTTCCTATTTTTTCCTATATATCCATTTAATACATCTCAAATCAACAGGTTGATAAATCTTTATTGAGCCTAAATTCTGTACCTCATGTGCAGTGTGAGAGGTAGAAAAATAGTAAGGTAGAGACCCTTTCTGTGAGGCACTGATCAGTTAGTTCAGGAAGAAAAGTTAACACCATATAGAATTTAGAAATTAATTCTACATTTCTGGTAGAGTCAGTCTCTGGAATATGTGAGGCAGATTTCTAACTATGCACAACAGAGTTGTAACTCTAAAGCAGAAACTGTAGTGCTGCAAAAGTAGAGCAAAAAACACTTTATTTTAATTTCAACTTTGTGTCTCCGGGTCTTTAAATCATTTAGTATCTACTGTATGCCAAGTATTTTGCTTGGTTACTGAAGTTAAAAAATACACAAGAGACTTGCTAGTATTCTCAGTATAGATGAGAGGAGGGATTGCTGCCATCCCCCCAAACAGAACAAGGCCCTGTGGGGTGATGATGTGTGGGGAAGGAAGAGGAAAAGAAAGCCTGGGAAGTTTTCACAGCTCAATACATGAGTGGTAGAAAGCCACTCATAAGCCAGTAGAAATTCAGGTAGAGCAGAAGAAGGGAAGGCGAAGCAGGTTGTAGCAATTATCTGAGTGTATTTGGGATTTACAAATCACTCAGAGGGTATTGGAGGGAGCAGTGAGTAGATACCATTGAGAATCAAGTTTTATACCTTACTCTGGAAGATTTTGTGTGCCAAATGAAGGAGTCTAATTTTTTACCTTGTAGGCAAAATTTCCAAAACTTAAGCAGAATAAGAGATGCACAGAGTTATCTCAGACATGGTGAGAAGGGTGGAAGCAGGTGAACAAGTTATCAGACCAAGATAAAGCATGTGCAGCATATACCATAGGAGAGAGGTGATGAGGCTTTCAACTAATACAAGACGTGGAAAAATGCAGTGAGGACGATTTTGGAAAGAATTTAGAAGGTAGACCTTTTGAGACTTGGTACCCAGTTGAATATGGAAGGTTATGTGGATTATGACACCATTAATTGAGAAGAGTAAGTGTTGGGAGGGGGTGAGGGACAGGTTGTTTTCAACATTATCATGTGCCCTTGGACTATGTAGTTTGATTGGCCCAGTATGCAAGAAAACATATAGATAAGACATTAAATACAGGATCAACATCAGAGAGAGGGATTTCGTTGGCTTGTACAGATAATAATGACAGTCATTAATGTAAACAGGTTCACACCAGAAAGGAGTGTAATATTGGGGAATAAGGCTTTCAGTGTACATTGTACACAATGGTATGACAATAAATGATTAGTAATAATAAATGATTAGTTTCTGGTGGAGAGAAACTCTTATAGCATTTGTTCATTTCAAGCTACCAATGTGGTATCACTAGGCAGGGAGTTGGAAAGAGTCACACAGTTGGCTCTCAGGAGCTAGGACAAGCTGTTCCTCATACCATCAATGTGCAGATTCTATCAAACACAAGAGCACTTGGGTAAGGCAGAGAAGAGCTAGCATCCAGTAAAATCTACCCAAGAAGCCAGGTGAATGCAGGGTTGCCTCTGTGGGGAGGGGCGTCTTATTCTGCAGGAAGGGGATTGCTAATTCTGAACCCAGAGTCCAATAGGGGTAAGGATGAGTCCTTAAGGAGCACCACTATTTGTACAATGGGGAAAGAAGACCCACCAGAAAAAAACAAACAATAAAATGGACAGACAGGCTGAAATCCAAGCACTGCCCCTTTCTAGTTTAATGTCTTGATCAAGTAACTTAACATTTTTGTGCCTCAGTTTCACTATTTTAAAAATTATAGTAAAATACAAATAACATAAAATTTAACATCTTAACCATTTTAAAGTATACAGTTCGGTGGGTTTAAATACATTTGCATTTGCATTGCTGTGTTATCATAACCACCACATACCCACAGAACTCTTAACAACTTGCAAAACCGAACCTCTGTGCTAATTAAACAGTTCTGCTTCTCACAGAGCCTGGAAGCAACCATTCTAGTTCCTGTCTCTATGAATTTGACTATACTATAATAAGGAGCATTATATAAAAGTTGCACCAGTTTTCAATGATAATGATATCTTTCTTGTAAGGTGATTGTAAGGATTCCACCTAAGCTCACAGAGCATTTAATACGTACATAGCACAAAAGACACATTCGATAAAGGATAACTATCCTTTTACTATGTTAAAAAAAAACAACTCTGAATTAGACAGTTAAGGGGTACACAAAGATAACAAGATACTCTGCTTCAAGGATCTCCAACTCAGAATGAAAGATTACATATTTAAAGACAAGTACTATAAATTCAAGCAGTGAAATTTTTCAGAATAAAGGTTCTTTAGGAATTTAGAAGGGGAAGATAGTATTATTGGCTAAGAAGATCAGAGAAAATGTCACAGAAAAGGAAATATTTCTTTGGAGAACCGGATCCAATGGGAATGGCAAAGGAACACTTCATGGAGAGAGACTGTGCATGTGTTGCCATAACAAAGTAACACACCAAGTGGTTTAAACAACAGAAATTGTATTTTCTCACAGTTCTGGAGACTCGAAGTTCAAGATCAATTTGCCAGCATGGTTGGTTCTTGATGCGGGCTTTTTTTTCTGACTTGCAGACTGGTACCTTTCTCACTGTGTCTTCACATGGAGAATAGACAGCGAGTTCTTCTCTGGTGTCTTTTCTTATGAGGACATTAGACCTATCAGATCAGGTCCCCACCTTAAGAAGTCAGTTAATCTTGATTTCTTCCTTAGAAAGCCCATCTCCAAATTCAGTTACAATGGGGCTTAGGACTTCCACATACAAATTTTGGGAAGATAAAAACAATCAGGCCATAAGAGCAATGAAGGCAGGAAAATACAGGTCGAGCACCCCTAATCTGAAAATCCAAAATTCAAAATGTTTCAAAATACAAGACTTTGAGCATCGGCATGATGCCACAAGTAGAAAATTCCACACGCATGAGACTGCTTCAAAATGAAGGTATACTGTATAAAATTTCCTTCAGCCTATATATACAAGGTACATGTGAAATATAAGAAAGTTTTGTGTTTAAACTTGGGTTCTATCCTCAGAATACCTCATTATGTACATGCAAATATTCTAAAACTAACAAAAAAAAATCCAAAACTCTGAACACTTCTGGTGCCAAACATTTCAGATAAGGGATATTTGACTAATACTACACACTTTAGGGAACATTCAATCATGTAGTTTGGATAGAACTTAAGGGGACTGAAAGTGGAGACATTGGACAAATAAAATTACACCTCGGGATTGGCCTGGATCACAGATGATCTTTGAATAGCAGCTAAGAATTTTAGAGTGAATTTAGTATACAGCAGAGAGCCACTGAGAGTTCATCCGGGAAGATGGGTGGTGACAAATGGGGGAAGATGCTTCGGACCATGGTGGGCCTTATAGCCAGTCTTGCTGGTATTATCTTGGAGCAGAGAAGGAAGTACAAGCCTGGCAGATTAAATACCTGCTAGAATCTTCCAATCAGACCTTTCAAAATGCTCTGCTGAATGCCAGCCAGTCCCTAGCTTGACCATGTGGTTACAGGCACAGACTTTGGGCAGCACCCATGAAAAATCAGTGTGAGGGAGTCACCCTCACCTGTCCTCCAGACAGAATGAATGAAAACTATGACTCCTCTGGCCAAAATCACTTTGGACAGTTTCTTGCTGACTGCAGAGCACACAGCAAGGCCGCGTGACCTCACATTTCACGAAGTCGCATCTAGTTCTGAGAGGTTGTAAATTGACCAATCTCAATTAGAGAGTTCTTTGGAGCGAGGTCATAGAATGGAATGCCTCTTCCCAGGGTAAAGTTCTCCTGGGTCTCCAAGGCAACTGGTTGCAGAAGCCACTACGCCCAACTACTAAAAATAGACATGGTATAAAACCCCAGCTCCCAAGGAAACAGGAGGAGTAGTTTGCTGAGAGAAGCAGTACAGACTGTGATAAAGCACGGCCTGTCGTTTTCAACACACCTTGGGACATGGTATGTTCCCTGAAATCCCTAATACTGACCTTTTCCAGGTGGAAAGGAAGGGCTCTTTCTAAACTATGACAGGTCTCAGAGGTTATCAAAGGGAGTCCTCAGTTTATGGGGGAGCAAAGTGAGGTTACACCCTGCCCAGCACCACATCGTCCTTCCTCCTACAGGCCTTCACTCAATCATTATCACTTAGCAAA